TGACTGACTGACAGAGTGACTGACTGACAGAGTGACTGACTGACTGACAGAGTGACTGACTGACTGACCAAGTGAATGAAGGAATGGATGGATGGATGGATKGMTTCATGTTTGCTTCTACGTTACAGATTTGCCTGTTATGGAGCGACCTGAATGACCAACAAACCAAGCAGCTCACCACGAAAACCATTGATGTAGTTTTGAAATTTAAAAGGAGAAGTGAAAGTTTAAGAGGCCAGTTGGTTAGCTACGATGGATATTCTGAAGGTTTGTTCTTATCTTTTAACATACAAGGAAAACAATTAGCCAATTGATCAATTAGCGAATCATTTTGTTCATTCCTCTTAGATGCGTTCGAGTCTGTTTTACAAGCAAAGCTTGATGGTGATCTCCACATGGCAGCCCTGGCGTCGCTTAGACTTTCAAGAAATAGAAAATATCTTCATGTAACATTGTACCACAACCGCTTCACGCACACAGGTATTGGCTAGTTAACTATCATATTATCACATGCAGGCTGGCAGGCAATGGTTCTTACTTTGTAAATCTCTTATCTTCAGGAGGGAAACAGATTGTAGCCAGTGCACATTTCATCAAAGCACCTCAAAGCGGCAACGTACAAGTTTTGCACTCAATTCCTGTGACGTCACTGCAAACCGATGGGGAAATAAAAAAGATCACGTGGTCTGGATCAAATGAGCAGAATCTTAAGTGGCTGGTTAGAGGGATATTGAACATGACCTTGAAAATCAAGGCTGGTGGACAGACAGTCGAGATGACAGGAAGAATAACTATTAAGAAAACTTGCAATGGTAAGTCACGTGAGTAATTCTTCCTCACGTATTTGGCCTTGAGGCGGAATACTGATCTTATTCAATGTCGTCCTGTTTCTAGTTATTTATGCATTGATGGCTGGAAGAGACGCAACAAAACCTACGGTAACGGGATCCAGTGGTTATGTATCATTTCATTTTCAAGACAATGGACATTTGCAATACAAGGTACTGCATATATATGAGTTTGTGAAGTTACACTAGCGTGTTCGGGTTAGCTGATATTCTCGTTGCCATTCTAAAGTCGTCATCACCATTATCACTATCAGCCGCATCCGTTCCATCATCAATATCATTCATCATTCATCATCATCACTATCATCATCACCATCACCATCACCATCACCACCAACACCATCATCATCACCATCACCATCATCATCAACACCATCATCATCACCATCTCGATCATCATCATCATCACCATCATCATCAACACCATCATCATCACCATCTCGATCATCATCATCATCACCATCATCATCAACATCACCATCATCATCATCATCACAATCATCATCACCATCATCATCATCATCAACATCCCACCAACACAATCATCATCACCATCATCACCATCACTATTACCATCACCATCATCATCACCATCACCATCACCAACACCATCATCATCACCATCACGATCATCATCACCATCAATTATCACCATCATCATCATCATCATCACCATCAATCATCATCATCACCATCAATCATCATCATCACCATCACGATCACGATCATCATCAACATCATCACTATCATCATCACCATCACTATTACCATCACCATCATCACTATCACGATCATCATCACGATCATCACTATCATTATCATCATCATCACCATCATCATCACCATCATCATCATCATCACCATCAATCATCATTATCACCATCACCATCATGATCATCATCACCTCTCCCTGTCACCTTTATCTGGATCGAACTCATATTTTCCCCTCGTATTTAGCTTTCCATTTCTGGACTGATGCAGCACGTCATCGAGATAACCTTGGAAATGAGTCGAAAAAGACTGGTCAAGAAATTGTCACGTTCTATTTCATCTGACGAACATTCACGCGTACAGGTACATCGGGAAACTAGAATACTTTCCATCAGAATTATCTTCTATAGTTTTTCTAGTGTTATTAACGCCTGTATCTTTCAACATGAAGATAGAAGATACTTGGGAGAGACCTTCTGCTGCTGAAATAAGTTTGTTGTTCAGCGGTGGAATCAGTGTCAACGTACGCACGGCGCTGTATCGCAATGGAGAATTGAGGGGTCACGTGAAACAACTACCATATGGAGGTCATCATGCTTCCTTTGAAGGTCAGTCAAACAGACAGACAGACAGACAGACAGACAGTAAGACAGACAGACAGACAGACATCATCGCAGTCATATACACCATCATTTCCAATGAATACATGCTTTATATTGTCGGCATAACATCAAAATAAACGATGATCATTCTTCGTATATTACTTTGTTTGTTCAGATTCGCCGTTTCTCTTGTCTGGAAATGAAGTCATTCCCAGTACTCGGACAGGAGCGTCTGGGTTGGCCTGGTTATCACTAGACCGTCACTGTTCACTCCACTATAACGTCCTGTTAAAAGGATTGAATCGAGGACAAAGCAATGTCATCACCGCTGACCTGGAGGGCTTTGCATTTTTTGGCGAGCAACCGCTGGAATATAAAAAGGAGAGACTTACGCTCCGTTCATTCACGGGAACGATGGTGGGTAAAACTGTTATATTCCTTTTATCCTGATTTCCTTTTTTTAAAGCATCCAGTGTCTTTGTAGGGATCTCTGGACCGAGTGAAAACAGAAAAGTCGAATGGAACTAGAATTTATCGTTTTTGTTCTTATTTTTTAGATCTCAGGCGTGGTGCGAGATTTGGATGACGAATTTCTGTCCAACATGTTTCGTGGTCGTGTCTACCTTCAAATTAGCAGCAACGACAGTCCACGTGGTGAGCTGCGAGGTCAGGTCCAGTTCAATGACGGTCCTTGTAGACCACCTATAACTGGTATGACCGGTCAAGTGTGTATATCCGAGGGACAGACGTACTTTAATGGAGAGGCCTGGACACCAGAATATGATCAAAAGTGTACCACATGTTCTTGTAAGGTAATGCGCATGTGCAACACATAAAGCCGGACGCAGTTCGGTATATATAAAACGAGCACGCATGTCTCTGTACTGTGATATAAAGCGCATGTCTCTGTACTGTGATATAAACACGCTGGGGGCTGTAGAGCACTAGAGAAGCAAGCTTAGAAACATACACGAGGTGTAGCCAAGCATTTCTCTTGCTTTTATTCAATATTTTAAAGCGATTTTGCGTAAGCGTTTTATCTCTGCATCTGTCCTCTGATATAAACATATAGCCAGCCAAACAGCGCGAGCGTTATATCTCCAATATTCTATACATGCTGACTGACTGATAAACTTTTCCCAGGACTCAAAAGTCATCTGTTTTCCAATTGTCTGTACGCCACAAAACTGCAGTGAAGCTCTTGTAGTTTTGCCAGACAAATGTTGTCCCGTCTGCCCAGGTCAGTACGAAATCTTCACAAATATTACGACTCTATTGCTACTTTATTACTTCGCAAAGCCGTTACTGCAGAAACGCCAAAGGCACGGTCAGCTGCAGCTGCAGCCTTATATAAATGTTCAATAACATTTTTAGCAACCAATCACTTTCTGATTTACTGAGCTGATTATTCCCTTCTAGTGATGGAAAGTCAACTGATCCGAACGTACGCGGGAGTTAACCCACCAAAGATAAAGGGATGTTTCGTTGACCAAGGAAGCAAGTTCTACCCCAGTGGCTCTGTATGGCATCCATATGTCGAACCGTTTGGCTACATGAAGTGTGTTGTTTGTACTTGTCTGGTGAGTTCTTCTTGTCTTGTGTGAATGTCAGTGTGTTGCAGGTTTGGTGGTAGAGTGTGAGCAAGTCAACCTCTTTTCTGAAAAAGGGTGTGATTCGACAACTAACTGACTTTTGTTGACTGTAATTATTGTGCTTTTTTTTTGTAGGCCAGTAGTAATGAGATAAGCTGTAGCAAGGTTCAATGTGCACAACCAAAATGCAAAAACCCAGTCAAGAAACACCAAGCAGACTGCTGTGCAAGGTGTCCAGGTAAAATAAGTGGCACATTGCGCGCAACTCTAAAATACTGTACCATATTCAAGGGCAGATCCAGTTGGGGGGGGCAAAGGGTGGCTGAAGCCCCCCTTCAGCAGAAAAAAATAATAATGAAGAATTAGATGCTTTCTTTATTGTTTTATCCGTTGTATTGACGGAAGAAACGCAATTAGCCCCCCCCCAAAAACATTTTGGTTTGATCTGCTCTTGATACTGAACCATAAGAAAGAAGCTAATTTTTTCCAACATTTAATAAATACATGATCGCTTAGTTTTTCGATCTAACTTTTCTTGTAACCATTGACTGATTTGAAATTTTTTTCTAGATTCTGTAATAAGCAGTAAATCTGCGGCGCAGTCTAAAGGTAAGTTAATAGCCCAGTTTAATCGACTGTTCATTATGGCTTATCAAGCTCTAATAATGTTTCAATTGTCCACTAGTGTGTCAGTTTGGTCAAATTACTTACCCTGAAGGAGCAAGATGGTCACCATACATGCCACCCTTTGGTCTCATTAAATGCGTCACATGTCAATGTCAGGTAAGCCAGTGCAATCACACTCTGTTTTAATTCTTGATCAATGCCTCCATCCACAAGAACTGCAGTTGATGCCTCCACAACATCCAGATTGTACCTTGTGGGACAAGAGAAAATTCTTTTCGATGACTTATGCTGATGGGGTTCCTTTCGCGCCAAAACTCGCGCGCTCATCACTGATACCAATATTAATGAAGCCAGTACTAATTTAGGCGTCTATTTGTGTTGTTTAGAATAGTAAAGTGAGCTGTATTACTGTTAAGTGTCCCGACAACTACTGCAAGAGTACTTTTAGTGGAATGGCGAGCAAAAGTTGCTGTGTGCCATGTAATGGTCGAACACGTTAAAAAATTAGACTCTGGGATACCCGTATCCAACACTGGATGAGAAAGACAGGATCCCAGGAAATAACATATGATTGACGTCAAAGGCACAGTTAGCTCAGTTAAAAATTTGCGGTCGCGTTTTATGACGACGTTAACACAGCTAACGAAAATATTCCAAATTAAATTGTTAGAATAAGCCAACCATAATAACTGTAGAGAAACGATCGCCAAAATTAAAGAGAATAGGAAGAAACGACGCAATAACAAATAATCCCTAAAGACAACCTTAAAATTCTTTGACCATGTCAAAATCACAGACAGGAATACACGGTTATTATATCTTAGTTACTCTATGATAACCATGGTAATTATGTTATGTATGCTCATGACAAGGATCTTCGATATGTAAGACTGCAAACATTTAGATGTCTTCAACTGAATATTAAATGAATAATTATAATACATTGGTTGTCCTTTAATGAGTTTATTCATTCATTCATTCATTTAGTTCTATATTTTAACAGGGACATCCAAGGACTAGTTTAAATAGAGTCCTGTGGTTTATGCCTGGCAATGGCCACAACTGGGCAGGACACAGGTATAATCCGGGGAAAAACTCATCAACTCAATTTTTATAATGAATGAGGTTGGTTCAAACGCCCTACTGATCAACTGATCCTGCTTCGGTCCCCTTGACATACTTTATATTATAGTTTAATAGGAGACTAATGTACACGTTTAATGGGATAAATTTATTGTATTGTTAGGAAGGTGGTTTGATGTATAATTCTTTTTTGTATAATACATTTTTTTCTGTTAGATATTTGAAATAATGTTGCACACCATAATTTTAATGGTATTCTAGGCTTCTGGATATTCTATTGATTTGTTTAGGATTTGTCAAGCTAAAAGCACATATCATTCAGTAAATAAAATCAGTATCTAAGGCTAGTTCCCAGCCAGATGCACACAAAAATGATGTCAAAATGTAATGTAAGTTTGGTGTCACATATGTTGAATATGATGTCATATGTGAATATATAGAGTCTGAATACACAAATTATACTTCAATCATGTCTTGTTATCAATGGATAGATGGATCGTTTAGCTTGTCCTGGTTGTTGGTCTCCTTTTCTGACCTGATTAAGATTGTTCTACTTTAGTGCTACTGTCAGCAGAGTCTGTGATCGAAATAAAAACAAAGTTACCTCCCTCGTATATGAAAAAGTTGCAATAATCTGAACTTCCTTTCAAGGATATACTATAGCTACTAGCTGGATGCTAGATGTAGTTTGTGGATCTTTATTTAGCTTACTTCTCAGCTGTGTATAAATGAATTGTTTCTAGATATAGTCCATGATATAATATGAGGTTTATTTTTTATTTTACTAAACATAGATATGTGTTATAGTTGTTATTCAACAGTTAAAGGAAAGGACACTTTAAGGCACTAATTATCAYCTTTTATGATGATTACAGTCAAACACCTCAAGCGTGAACATGTAGAGGTCATTAAAGACTTTATTTTTGGATTCTTGATTTCATTGTTCGATTCGAACATTCATTATTGATAACAAATCTTCAATATTCAAAAAATAACAATAATTTGAAAATTTGATTAACTTGGCTTGTAGGCTCTTGTTTATAGCGCAAACAGAAGGTAAGTCATTAATATTACATATTCCTTGCACAAAAAGTTGTTTTTGCATTTCAGTTGCATATATGCTTGGCTTTGTATATGCCTGGCTTTTCAATAATTTCGTTTTCAATAATGAACGTTTGAATTGAATAATAAAATCAAGAATCCAAAAATAAAGTCATTAATGACCTCTACGTGTTTACGCTTGAGGTAGTTTGACTGTAATTTTGATTTGATTCTTTTAAAATGAAAAATTATCCGATAAGATCTCTCTCTAACAAAGCATTTTATTACCTTTGCTATCCTACAATATGATGAGACTTTCCAAACATTATTTGTTATTACTTTAATAATATCTATCTACTAAGGCTGGTATCTCACCCCAGTGTGGAATACAAAATGGGAATGGGAACATTAAAACAATGAACTTCATGACAAATGCCTTCATCAAATTTTTAGGYGGCAAGACAATTATTGAAAAGAATAATTCTAGACTAAGAAAAATTAAAATTAAAATACTTATGACATAAGAACTTTATATCAATAGTAAATCTTTAATATCTCAAAATCAATGGAAACCCCTTAGAAACTTAATTTTAAGATTGTACGTCCTATTAAGAATCATTGCAAGCAGAGGTGCCATTACTTTAGACTTGTGTCTATGATTATCAATGCTCAAGATAGTCTGCTACATCTCTTGTTACCTGTACTTAGCTTAGCCTTGCTTAGTGTCATTTCAGACGAGGATATGAATTACTTTTATTTAATATCATATATATTCTCAGTAGAAATGACTAACTGTAATCAAGGGAGAATGACCTTGATATGGCAAACATATGATATCACTAGATCCCTTATTCYCAGCTGATCCTATCATCATCCTTTCTACATGGATGTCTTCAGAATAACAATGGTCTATATATAGATATGATACAATTGATTTAAGATTTAATAACATTGCCTGAATCTTCTTTGCCTCTGTACTTCTTCTTTCCAAAGGTAAATGGAAGGTACCTGTACTTGATCATATGCTGAAAAACATTGCAAAGTAAACAATTCAGTATCTATATATATTATTATATATATAATAAGAGGGGATATATATATTTAGTAAAAATATGCAGGTGATTATAGAAAATCTCGCGTGCTGACTGGTCAAGAAACTCACTGTCACTATCATACGATAATCACCTCAAGCAAAAATCCATTATGGCGGCCAGCCGCTTTGTTGCTGTTACCGGAAAAAAATGCCTTTTATCTTCTTTTTCCCCCCTTTTTTTTGAAAGAATCACCTGTGTATTTATACTAAAACAATTATTTGCCTCAGCCTCAGTGATTATCGGGGAATATTTTCCTCGCTGCTTGAAGACTTGCATCTCAGTAAATATTCCCCGATAATCATTTCGCCTTCGGCAAATAATTGTTAAAAAAATATATATATACTAAAAGGGGATTTAACTATCACAATGTCAGGTCATATACCTTAATTYGTCTCTTCATTGTAAGAATAAAAAGTATGATGAAGTACATGACGAGAATAGGCCAGAAGACTGGGATGTTGAGGAATTCAAAGAACGTACAGCATAATGCTATGACAATCCCTCTTGTTGCACCATACCTATGACAAACAATTAAATATATCATCATTACTAACATGATAAGAAAAACAATCCATGTGAAGGAGTCTGAATATAAGTTACCAGAATTTAAACTCAGGTAGTCTCCTTATGAATGGCCTGAATTCTTCATCAGCTTTTGTCGGTAGACCAGGACCATCCTCATCATATTCTAGTAAAGAACATTTAATAAGGTTTAGAAATACAATACTGTTACATGCTGGGATTAGTACAGTAATACAACAAGGATTATAGTCTATTGCAGTAGTATCATGATATAATATTTCCTGATTGGGCTACATCAGTGAGTTGAGTTTGTGTGATGCGTTGCTCAGTCTCCTTCTTTATGATTTTTTTTTCTGTATCTCTCTGGTTTTTTTCTCTCTCCATAAAAATCAACATATGTGTTCACTATTGTGTAAATAGTACATGAAGGGCTGTGTTGGTTGTAAAATATAATTAGTTCTGTCAAACTGAAGAATATTAAAGAGGCTGAATCAACCCTACTTCTCACCTAGGTCTTCCAATGCTGGGTCTATTCTTGGTGATAAAAAAGCAATTAACAAATTTAAATGGTAAATACCAAGTGCGTATGTAATAATATACCAGCCCTGAAAACAAAGTATCAAAAAAGGATAAGCACAGGCCTTATAATTATTTATTATAATCTCAGTATCATTCCACCCCCTCCTCTCCCCCTATCATCCTCAACCTATCTCATATCTCTCCCAAAATAACTTAAACACAACAAAGATTCATGCTTACCTGAAGTAAAAATACTCTAACAAGATAAACTAACAAAAGAACAAATGTGGCAATCCATCGTGAGGCTAAGTGAGGGGTTATATCATCAAGGAATTTCTGATATTTCTAAATAGGTAAATAAAATAAGTGTTAACCTTTAGAGGCCAATATGGTAATATATTACACCTTGGAATGGGCCTACCTGTAGCAGTTCCCACCCTATCAAGTATATACATGTATAGAAAATAAAGTCTCATATCATGTGGTTGTACCTGTGAAATAGTAGTAAAAAACCTATTTACTACACCAGGGGCCTACTTGTAGCAGTTCCCACCCTATCAAGTATATACATGTATAGAAAATAAAGTCTCATATCATGTAGTTGTACCTGTGAAATAGTAGTAAAAAACCTATTTACTACACCAGGTTGAGATGATGTGACTTCGTCTGTTGAATCCATGCTTTGTCTAAGTAAAAATTAATGTTAATATAATCATGTTTGGTATACAATGGTGCAGATTAACAAGACTGCCAAAATAATCTATTTTGACTTGACATAGATGACAAGTTTTGCTACAGCACTTTTTTTCATCACTGTGTAGTTCACACTTGGGGTTGTTGATTCAATTCCCAGCTGAGTTGCAAATGTGAATTGTTTGCTTGATGTGTTGTTCTCTACCTTTTCACAATGGCTTTTCTCAGGGTTCACATATGAGTTCAGTGTTTTAAATAATAAATGTAGTGGTAGTGAGTGTGGGGCAGAGAGCTCCTTAAAGGGAGTAATGGTCGTATACATATATAAACAGAAAATTCTGCATCTACAACATATACATGTCTACTCATTCAGTCAGTAGCTTGGGATACGAGTTCTATGATTTATCATAATATTAATGCTAGACATCAAGATGTTGACAGCTGACCCCTTGACAACAATACTCTACAACAACCCTTATACTCATGTAACAAATTAGTTGAATATTCATATATTCTAATAAAGTACAGATCACAAGATATTTTATCAACGTTTAGGCCGAATAATATGAAAAAGTGATTGATCAACGAATTCATTAACGGATTCATTAATCTTGCTACATGTTTGGCATTTTTAAGATTATTATTTGTAACCCTTATATTTATTCTTAAATTTTGATTTTATGACAAATTTGGACGGACTAATTTCTAATGTTTATATATACACGGAGTAACGAGTTATTATTCAAGAAACTTGTTGGTAAAGTTAAGAAAATGGCAGAATATTGAAGTTTAACGGTGATTATGCTCATCATCATTGCACCTTGTTTACACGCCATACAGCTAAACAAAACAACCATTACACACTATCTTTAACACATAAAACTCGTAAATGATAAAATATCTAGTAGTCTAGCTATTTACCTGGTTTTCTTGGGTTATTTTGGATGGTTTTTGAAGGGTTTTTAGTGACGTTCACCGGCTTTCGTGTTTCCTCTCGCCACGTCACTAAGTCAGCGGATTAACAACAAGAGACATGTGCAGTATGCTAAAATACACAGGTAGCCCAGTCAGACATGTTTGATTTGTCGGATGGGGGGGGGGGGGGGGGGGGGGTGTAATAGTTAATTGAGAATTTACGGTATACTAACTAACTGATGAAAAAATAATACATAAATAAATAAATATAAAATAAAAATAAGAAAGAATAAACAAAATAAAAACAAAAACGAGCACTAGAGAACCCGAACAAACCAGAAAAGAAAAGAAAATCAATGAAAACAAACAAACAACGATAAACCCCTGCAATTTAATACAACAAAAGCCAATGTATGGACATAATTATCAATGCCACCAATTCTTATCAGATATTATGCATGAAACTATAATGATTAACAGGAACAATAGCGTTAATCATTTACAATAATTGTAATTATTACTGGCGTACGTCTAAATTATCTATAATTACTTATCATAGTTTTTTAAACTGTTTATATAGTTATCAATATCATAACATATCCATGTCCAAAGTGTTCTAGATATGGTTAAATTTTTGATGAATTCAAATGCTATTATTCGTATGGTAAGCAAAATGTTTATTGAAATTATAAATTGTACAGCAAGAAAATGATAATTTGAGCAAAAATAGTAATTAATGCTCTGTGAATTACCAATTGAACTACTTTATGCATGTTTATAACTCCTTTTTTGTTTGTTTTTCTAAGGCCAAAAATCATCGTCAGGGGTGGGGTCATAATCATAAAAGTTTTCATCTTCAATGTCGTAATCATCTTCAAAGTCATAACCTTCATAATCGTCATAATCTTCATAGTCATCATAGAAGTCGTCATAGTCATCTTCATCAAATTCATCATAGTATGCTTCAATGTAGTCTGGAACATGACTTTGATCATGAGTCCTAAAGAACCGCCACAAGAATTGAAGCTTGGTTATTCCCAAACTCCCTTGAGACTTGACTACATTCCCTTCAACACAGACTAGATATCCATGGTAATTGGGTGGATTCTCTTGCCGATAACCTCCCCCTGATCCTCCATGTGGGCCAAGTTTACGTTCCTTGTTAGTAAAAAATGTCACACAGTCAATCATATATCCACTCTGAGAATCCAGTTTTATAATTCTCTCATCTGTATCCAGTCTGAACTCCTCTTTAGTGCTTCCCTTTTCATCTCCATGCATACAGGATTCACCATTGCTGTAGTAGATCTTCATTCCACCAATAACTGGACGCCCATCCCAACTGCGGATCCACAAGTCCATTCCAGTTACATAGTCACTATGAACATTGATCTTTTCCTTGTCAGAGAAAGCAACAGCTTCATCATTAACTTGTTCACCATTAGCTAGACAGCGTCCCCTCCACAACTGGTACTCTCCACATGGCCTTGGTTTAGTCCAGTCTTTCTGAGACAACTCATCAGTTTCCTCTTCTTGCAACTGTGCTGACTTTGAAGTCTTCTCTTTCTTCAACAAAAGAGCCTCATCTATTAAAGCTTTACACTCTGTACTTTGTAGCACATCATTAGACTTCAAGGCATGTAGTTTTTTATTTTTCAGTAGTGGAAGATGTATGCACTTCAGAAGTTGTTCAGCTTTTTCATTAACTTCTTCATTGTGCTTTATGTATTCTAGAACTTTCTCCAGCAAATATTCTTCTTGCCTTCTTCCCAGATACACAACTCCATTCTTCTCCACCAGCAAATGATCATCACTCAACACCTCCTTCAACAGCTTGAAAGGAATATTAAGGAATGCTTTATTTTCTGCAAATGTACTAAATCGTAAGAAGCAATATTTTTTAATGTGATCTTTAAGTTTGCTCTGGTGGAACTGGTCTGCGACTTGCAGTATTTGAAGGGCATTCTCGTCACTCATGTGAAACTTGAGGTAATCACAGCAACTCTTTTCTACGAAGTCAAATCCTTGCAGAAAGTTTGCCCCAGCAAGTATTTCCACCACATTATCAGCTGTTATCTCTACTTTCCCTGTGTAAGCATAGTCTATAAGGGCTGTCCCAATCTTGCTGTCAAACAACGGAATTTCCAACTTTTGCTGGGATCCATCTATAAAGTTTGAAGAAAACATAGCTTCAAAATAGCGAGAGGAAGATGCAAGAACAACTTTATGTGCTTTGATCTCTTTATCTCCAAAAACAAGTGTAACATCACAAAACTTTTCGTCTTTGTAATTTTGGTGAAGACCAAGTAAAATAGCTGATGAATGCTTTTTGTCTTCAACCACTTTTTCTTTTGCATCAGGCAAAGAGATAACACGGATAGGAGGATTTTTACTGGGGCTTTTTTCAGTTTCATCCGCACAGGCTGCCATGTTTACTGCATCGAAGGTAAGAAGGACCTCTACATCTGCTACTTATCTGCGCCCACAGGTTTTTTGGTCAGCACGTTCTCCGAGCAACGGTGACCGTGACTATTTTGCTTAAAATAAGTCATTAATTATTTTTATCATATAGGCCATGAAAGTTTTTTTTAAAAGTGGATTTTGAAGTCTTTCTTTGCACCCTTCCCCAACCTGACCCTAACCCATTTTCTGTATTGCCATTAAGGTTTTGAGTTAGCAAGCATCTCCCAGTTGAGCACCACTTCAACCTTAAAGTTTATCAAACTTTGAAACTACCTATGCAAAGACCAAACCCTGAAACGACCTCTGGGCTGATAGTCAGGGCAAAGCTAACTCACAGACTAAACCCTGAAAGAACATACCTCTGGGTTTAACAAAGCGAGGGGACATTTAACTCACATAGAGTGAAGGCATTTAACCCACCACTGTGTTAATCAACATGAAAATATGGTCAAATAATTACTGATCTTATCAAAATCCATTGTTTTCAGTCTGCATTATCCCAACGAATGCATAGAGGAAAATCAGACATATTTAGTTCATTCATTATTGGCTTTGYTTCTATGATAAACAAGCTAGAAAGAAAACAATTGGATTTTGATAAGAACAATAATTATACTAGATAATCACTTCGGCACGCAGTATTYGTAGGTATAATGCAGGCAGCTGAGGGCGTAGCCCTATTAAATATATAAGAAAGAAAAAGATGAAATTTGTCAAATCCAACTAGTGGTATATCATTAATGCTGCATTCTGATTGGATGAGCTACTACTAGGCTATAAGTTATAGCCTATGAAAAGTTAGAAGTTCTGGCTTTGAAAACCAAAACATAAAATTTAACTTCAATTTGAAATTTGTTTGCACCTTTATATTCAACCTACTAGCTGGATTTGACTAAAACAATGATTAGTCCTCTTGGACTATAAGTCAATGCCTTTTTCTGTTCTCAGTCTTATGGGCTATTGGCTCATAGCCCATTTAGGAAGGTTTAGTGACTTCACTTTATTGAGCCCTGAAACAACCTCTTAACTCTGATCTAAATATGAACAGGGCTTACTCACAGGTGAAATTGTTACAGTCATTTTGAAAATGACATCAATGTTGCTTTAAAACTTAGCAACTTGAAAAGAGGTTCCGACAATATCCTGTGATGTAACCCTGTCAAGTCTGGAATTTCCCCATCAGTATCAATGCCAAGTCATTTTTCTTGATTAGGACGTTAATTAAGTTAGTAAYTCTTTTAAAACATGAGGCATATTATCAAATGGCAAGCGTGTTGTTTTATTAAAGCCATATAGACAAGATGTATTGCCCTGACTTTCTTCCACATACATACTTTACAAGATGGAAACATGTAGACAAAGATGACAAAAAAACAATCTCAAACATTAGACCAAAACCATGATTAGAAAAGCTAACTAAACTGTTAACAAAGCTGGGAATTGAACAGCAACAAAGGGTTTGAAAAATTCATAGAAGCTAGAACAACCCCAGAACTTAAATTAACAAAATTGTAAAGAAAACTGTTAAGGTATATATTGGTAAAGGAAAAATAAGAAATATTATGGAATGTAATAATCATGGTTTAATCTAGTTGGAGTAAATTATGGATAATCCTTTTTCTAGCTGGAAAACTGTCTAACCAATGCTTTTAGGTCTTTAATTTTCAGGTGCAGCATCTGAAGATGGAGCTTGCTCTCCCTTTTCTTGACTTGGTGGCTTTTGTTCATTTTCACCACTCTGTGGGGGACGCCTTCTTCTGTAGCGTCTGAATCGTCTACGAGTTGGTCTACTCCCTTCTTCATGGCCCTCTTCATCACCCTCCTTTTTCTCTCTTTGATCGTCACTTCTTTCTTCGTTGTCACTACGAGGACGTCTGAAATAGAAAGACATACATGTTATTGTATCTGTGAGCTGATCTGTGCAGTATATCAAGCAACTTATGCAGCTGCTAATTATAAGACTCAGAAAAAATAATACATTGTTATTGTCAAAATTTAAAAGTTTTGGACGTACCTTGGTCTATACCTAGGGCGGCGTCTACGGGGAGGTCTTTGCTCTTGATCATTGTTGGGTGAGCCATCATGATCTTGTTGTTGACCTTCCCCGGTGCTTTCAGCACCAGAATGTTCATCTCTTCTTGGACCCCGGTACTTTCTCCAGAATGGACGTCTGTCAATTAATTATAGTAATCATAAACCATAAATCACCAACTTTGTTTTTTTGAAACAACTCTTGGTAGTAAGGCCAAAAACTCAGAGCGTATATTAAATAATCACTGTGAATCATTTAAAACTAAATGTTCATCTTTGTTTTTGGCAAAGCATACACAAGTACACAGGTTGAATAATTGATGCAACTTGTGACATATACACTTGTGAAGTTTCAACCAAGCAATCATCTGGCATCTTAGTCTATACCTCCTTCTCCTTGGGTGAGGTTTTTCACCACCATCCCCAGAGTCCGTTCCCTTGCCCTCTTGATCTTGATCATCTTTGGCCTCTCCATTTGTAGCGCTATCCGGTCTTCGACGAGGGCGGTTCCTTGGTCGGCGGTAGTAGTAGTAGTTGTATCTATTCCTACGGCGATCAGCTACAAGAACAAAGTAATAATTATCAATTAACATTTATTCTGGTATATTTAAAATCTCAAGGGGAGATTATGCCCTGTTTTACATATTCAACAAAACACATAATAGAGTGGTGATAACTAGTAGACCTAGCGTGGACTGCGTCGGTGTTTCTGAATAAAACAGTAGGAACTTGTAGATAAATTGAATTACTGTAAAAAGCTTTGTGAAACTGACATTTCGATTGTTAGTCCTTTGTTGGAGTAAGTGACACTTACTCCGATGAAGGACTAATGTCTGAAACATCAGTTTCACAAAGCTTTTTACAGTGATCCAATTTATCTACAAGTTCCTACTGTTAAAAACACATAATAGATATATATTCTGCTGATAAACAAGAGTTCATAACACTTACGTGCATACTTGCTACCCTGTACTGGAATTCCTTCAGGGCCAGTTACATTTGCGGCTTCCAAGCCCTGTAAGACATATTATTGAAATGACTATAGTAAAGAACTTAAGACAAGGTAAAATAAATATGTCCAGTGAGTGCTTTTTACAAGGCTGTTTGTATGTTACCTACCTTAGAGCCAGAGACTACATCAAACTCAACTACTTCTCCGTCTCCAACACTTCTAAGGTACTTCTTGGGGTTGTTCTTAGAAATGGCAGTCTGAAAAAGGAGATACGAGTTATTCTTCTTGTTTAGAAAACCAAATAAGTGATTGCAGTGGCTGTTCAAACTAAGTTCCAATACTTTAGTAAGACTAGTGAAAGCTAATCATCTTCTAATTGCAAACTGTATAGTTGAACAGGCAAACCAGCACCAATTGTTCCTGTTTAGAGTATCATGAAATAAGCTATCCAGTATAGAAAAGCAAAGGGACATGGACTATATTCATTTGAAAAATCCATTCCAAAAACTAGCAATCATGTTAGTCTCTTAAAAAGCCAACATGTTTGACACTGACAAAGAAACAAGAGGATAAGCTTTTTAAACAAGGGTAATATTATTAACTCAGTGATGCAAGAGCTTCTTTCTTTAAAACAAAGACCTGCTGGTACTAATCTAAGCCTTTTGATGTTACAAAAGAAACCTAAATGTGAATAAAGATTAGATTCCAAACCTAGTAACCTAGATAACTATAATCAAGCCAATAAAAACTGAAAACTTTAACTACGTGGAAGATAATTACTTAAGGAATGAGGAATAGGGAGTTAACAAAACCAAGGTTAGCTTAATTATAAATACTACAAAACTACTACAACTTACTATCAAAGAAAACTAAATCTTATCAAGACTTGAAGGAGTTTATGCGTTACTCTTTAAGGTTAAACATGCATTCTACATTAAATCTAACATTATTTAAGGCTAAGATTTCGCAGATAAGAGATTTATTTAGACAAACACCATCACGACTTGATAACTGCTTACAAAACTCAAACCAACGCAACAAGACCAATTCAACAAGTTAATTTATACAGTATCATTATGTTTTAATAAGTACTTAAACAACTTCTTACCTGGTGAACAAAGATATCTTCCTTGTTGTCATCTCTGAAAGAGAAACAGGAAAACCCAAGATCAATATGACAATGGCCGACTGGTGTTATGCTAATTCACAACGGCTAATTTCGTCATCGCCTCGCGACCAGCACTTTTAATATCAGCTTTATTCAAACTTCTTGTTAGTTAAACTACGAATTTCTAAACTTCTGAGTGGGTAAAACTAACCAATGAAGAAAGAAGATGACAAAATGTGTGCAAAATTGTGGTTTTAATGAGTACAAACCTGTTGATGAAGCCATAGCCATTCTTTACATTGAACCACTTCACTGTGCCCGAAACTTTGGTAGCTAAAATACCAAAAAAAGCGTCAATCTCAAAATAAGAACCCTGAAAGGCTACTCTAAGACTTGTGAAATCTCAAAAAAGTAATTACGAGTAGAGAGATGTGCTATTAAAGTAGAAAAGCTGTCGTGACAAATGCATATTCAAATGAGCGCATGTTTGCTCGAGTTGCACATGTTCGCGATGTCGCTTTCGTTTGTTTAAAAAATTCAAACTTTCTTTTGCAAAAAACTCACCAATGACCTTTTTTACAGGTTCTTCTTCTTCAACCTTAACCTCTTCAGCCGTAGTCATTGTTTCTGATGTTGTTTGCCGCCTCTTAGGGCTTGCGCTACTGATGGTAAGATGTTAGAAAAGATGGTTAATCGTGTTCTTGTCCGTCTCTCCGCGGCCGATGGATGGCGGTGTGATTGGGTCCCTTGTGCAACAACCGACRACCCTTCCTAGTCACGCGAGGCGTCATGGGAGTGGCTCCCGAACACTCCTCGAGGTGTTACCGACACTAAGCGGAAATTACCCGAACATCTCCGAACTTCACTAATGTCATTTAGAAACAAGAAAAAGTCCATAAAGAATAAGACATTTTAAACAACATGTGTTTATCATCTATATATATATTTGAAATTAAATTAAAGAAGAAATTTATAGAAATGTGACAATGTTTTATAGAGATACAAGTAAAACGAAAGATACCAAAAAGACAACTTAAACACGACTTTCATTCCTTTACCGAAATGACTTTCACAAACTTTGGTCACAGGCAAAGACATTTGCTGAGGCATTTTTTATTAGATTGGTATAGTGCCATAGGCTTCAAAGACCCTGTTCATGGTCATCCTGTGGTTCGAGAGAGACTGGTGTCTAGTACAGGAATCCAAGATGGCGGCTGTCAGGCTGCATCAGATGGAATACTTTTTACATGGTTCTATCAATAAAAAGAATGTCGAAAATCTGCTGTGTAGACTCAAGGGACTTTGTGACAATACCTCACATGAACGTGACAAGTTTTCGGATCATGAAATCGTCTATTCATTACGTGAGTTCATAGATAATTTTATACTGAGAGAGCTAGATTATTGAGCTTGATGCCAGATATCAGGATATCATATGTTCTATTGTTCATAGGTAACAATCCACACCTAGTCACACTAAGGGCAAGGCACTCCTTGGTAGACACTGCTGCTCCTTGGTATGTATACATTTACACTATTCTGAAGGGGAGGGGGGAGAGTTTATGATGAAAGCTTCCAGGCCTATCAACAGGACCTTCCATTTTTAATGYGGAAAAGAGGGACAGAAAAAGGGGGGTGGGGAGGGAGGTTCATTTTCACGTATGAAGAACCCATGGTCATGCCTCTAAACTAAAAAAAAAACATGCTGTATGACATACAAAATATTTCAATTTCCTACAAATAATGAAAAAATTAAAAGGACCATTTACACCCCTCGACCYAGCCCACCCCTACCCCACCTACAAACAACACAACAATCCTGCACCAAGAATAAACATATTCCTGTTAACATCCCTCCAATGAAGTTTGGGAGATGGTTTAAAGCTGGCTATGGATGAGATATGGATGAGTCATATTTTTGACTAAAGAGGTTTTGCACAATCATGTGATAGCAGCCATGTTAGATGGCAGCAACAATACAATTGTTTTACATGAGAAAGAATTCAATTTCCAAGAGCAAAGGGATTTTATTGTTCTGTCATTAAACCATAGGAAGTCCTAGCTAAATTATTATGACAGGTGATGATGTAAAGCCTCTATTATGGACCATTATGGCATAACAGAACTGAATAGCCATACTTAATGCATACAGGTTACTGCGTTATGTTGGTCAAGCAGAGATGGGTGACAAAAGCAGAGCAACTCTTTTGCGTAGCTGTGTAGAAGTTGAAACTAGCGATAACCTTTCTGCTTTCTTAGAGGAACTTGGATTTAAGTAAGTCAGAATTAAGCATCTTTATTCAACAAAGTGTTAACTTCATCTTTCTCTTGAAAGGTATCCCTTCAGACTTTGTTACTGATTTTCTATTACTCTATTATTTGAACCCACAGATTTGATTATGAATTTGTATTATCTGGGTATTATTTTTACAAAGGACACATAAAAATCACAGTCAGCCAAGTGTTTAGGGTAATGAAGAATTCAACATTAATATTGAATGTAGCGCTTTAGTCTTTAGTCGTTATGGGTTGGGAGACTAAGCAATCACTTACTCCCTACTCGTTTGACCTAAAATGAAATGACATTTACATTATAATGTATTAATATGCCTCATTTATACATCTGTACATATATTTATCATCTGTAAATTAAGGGCACGCTTGTTTCACCCTCCATCTCCTGCCGACACTACCCCACCCAACCCACAAACATGCCATTAGATACCCTGATCTCCACAGACAAACAAAGTGAAGAGGGATGGCTTTCACCCTTGTTATTAATTTTTTTTCCTCTTTTTTTTTTTTTTCTTTTTCAAGCTGCCTGTGGTTGGTGACATGAGCAGTATGCAGTTAGCATCTGAATCTTATCTTGTTGAAATAGGCCTAACAACAGCAGTTCAACAGGTAAATCATAATTTAAAATGATGTGACATATTACCAGAAACACATTTATCAGTTGTTTACAAAGGTATCTAAACAGCCAGGAAACATTGTGAAAAAGTTGTAACATGTGGTGGGGTAGTTTCCTAGGCAACTGCTATTAGTGTCGTCACACAACGCTCACTCCCCTAAGTAGCGATAACGTTTCTGTCACACTGCAAAAATTTATAAAGTGTAAAAATGTTTCTAGCAACTAGGAAACATCATGGAAGCACGCACCAGGTAAAAATGTAATGTTTCTGAAAATGTTACTATTCTCATAGAACTAGGGCTTTACAATGACTGAACTGTTAAAACATTCAAAAGAAATAGACTAAAGTGCTTTTCATTCACATCAGCAATGGGTTCTTACCTGTGATAGACTGTATATTAATTTCTGTCTTATATGTGCTTTAATAGGACTCAGTTGCTGAGGACATCAAAGCTTTTGCAGAACATTTAAAACCGTATCCTTTTAAAATACATTAAATTACAATAAATATTCACCACAGATTTCCATTGTAGAATTTTTTTCCTGACTAATTTCCTTGATTCCATGCTAGTCTTGTTCACTTGGAAAAAGTTGATCACAGGAAGTTGTTACTGATGTCATGACAAAAAAGACACCATCAATGATATTGTATAACTTCACTTGGACAACGTTGGTCACTGGTGCATCACATCACTCAAGGAAGGTTGGTTGCTGATAGTAGTATAACAGACCCCAATGACATCATACAGTGGAATGTTTGCTAGTTTCAGTAAGATACGTCATGATGTATAGTGTAATTTTTCACTGATAAAATGTCACTTGCCTAGTGAATATGAACACCTGAAGCCATATCATGCCRGCCTTACTGTATAGTGGGTTTATGAAGGTAGTTTTGAGATATAGTTCAGTGGATTGTGCTACTTGAAACTACGAAAATTACTTGGTAAGATAGTATAGTTGTAGTACTTGGAAGGTGAAGTGAAACTAGGTCTTGTAATATTACACGTGAGATTAGATGATGAGGTGTTATCAATAACATATATCACATCATCGGATTGTGTAAATGAAATGGAAAAAATGAATAAAGAAAAGATGAAATAACCACTGAAATAAGGTATTAGGGAATAGAAAGAAATACAAACGAAAAAAAGGGAAACGAAATGAAATGAAAGGAGAAGAAACGAAGGGGGAAAGAAAAGGAAAGAAACACAGAGTAGTCGAATTTCTCAAGCTGATTGCAATTTTGTGTTGACAATAAACCCCAGGGACAAAGCAATCGATGTTTTGAATACCTTTATCCCGAAATCTGTATCCGTTCCACGGTGAAAATAAATAAAACCGTTCCAGTTGGAAAGATATCAGCTCTCACGCCTCGGTAACAACTCTGCTAAGAACTAAAAGAAACTGCAATACAAACATGTAAATATGCCATTATTCATAAAGATTCAGGTTTGGTTGTATATAATTTTACATTTGATATACTTTTTTAAAGTTAAAATTAGTTTGTGTCGCGTTTGGCGGTTTGAAGAGTAACGGGAAACTGAAATCTTGAAGTTCTGAAGATCCCGTTTATATCATCGTACATGACTCCAGCGTTTCAACCGTTTTTCGTTATCAAAGTCGTGTTATCATTTTATATGCCGGGAATAGGTTAAAGAATCTGGTAAAGGGTAAGCCTTCTTTGTGAAACTGAACGATCTTAATTGATAAAATCAAGAATCACAATCTAAACTAAAATCAAACTCATTTACTATATAGTCAAATATAAACGGGAAGGGACCGTTTTCTTCTGTCTCGTTCTCTAAAGTAAAAACGTTCAGTATTACCCTGCGAGCAGAGYCTCCTTTTAACTCCTATACGGGCGAGAGGAGTTAAAAGAGGAGTTAAAAGGAGACTCTGCTCGCAGGGTAGTTCAGTATGGGCAATGTAACTGAATATCTCAGGAAAAAAAATGATGCTTCATCTGACTACCGGTTGTTAGCAGTTTGAATTACAATAGAGTAAAGTGCTTTGTCTATCACTTCCGCTTTTTTTTCCTTTTGTTTTGCGGTGCCGAAAAATGGGCAAATGGAAGAAGAGATGCTATAAAACAAATTCAAAGAAGAATAAAACATTACGTAGAATATAACTTAATTAATTGATTTGTAAGCGTTTATAGTTTCTCGATAAGAGACTGGAGTACAAGTTGTAACAGATGTTGTTTGATTAAAATAGTTTCGCTCTATTTTTTAAAGCCAACAGTGACATTATCCATTTGACAGGAGTTCCTCTCTAGGTGTCAAAGATAGATGTCCAAACAAGCTGCCCCCTTTTTATCGCATTTCCACTCGTATTCTCAAACCTTTTTTCAAGCTTTTTTTTCTTCTTAAATTTGTTTTGTCAGATTCCCCTCCTAAAGTTTTCCCCCGGCTGATTTTACTTATTGTTAACGGCTGAGCAAAAAGAGGAAAAACTAATATAGGTGCGAATATTCGCGTTGCATTATTTGAGGGCGTAATTGAATACTTAGTACTAGCGTCTTGAAGCGGTAGTTATTTGATCGGTATAAAACGTCGGGAAAGACACTCCACCTTTAGTAAAGACTCAGTCAGACTTTTACACGTTATCTAACCCCAAAAACAATGTCAGTCACGTGAGCACATTCCATATTTAACCTACCTACTCTGAAATATGAGTTGCTGTATGTCGATACTATCAACAAGCCAAGATGTCCGTAAAAATTATCTTGGTTTCTTGCGGCTTTTTACTTTGTCTTCTCACTGACATTACTTTCCAAACAAGAACTTTTTCACGAGGTATGTATGATTCGATGGCCATTCAAGCGTTTGATTTTATTGCTTGTTATGACTTGTTTTGTTTCTGAGTGAGGTTTTCTTGTTTTTGACGTCCCATCAGACCCAAAAGATTTAGAGTTTCTGGTCGTGACGGTAGCTACAGAAGAAACAGATGGATTTAAAAGATTCATGCGATCGTGCAACTATTACAATATATCTGTTAAAGTATGTATAAAATCTTCATTAATACTTGTTAGACTACCCGTTAGATTAGAATCATTAAACACAGTGTTTGCATTAATAATCCGCATATTGGATCGATCACCTTAGTGGTACACGTGTCCTTCTCGAGAAATACTCTTTTTTGCCTTCTTTGTAAGACCAACAAATTAAAATATCGCAGGATTTGCGATGCATGGCACTTAAATGGCTTGATTAATTAATCGATTAGTCGATCTGTTACGCTGTTGCTGTAGACATCTCGTAACAGACTTCAAACACTATTTTTAGTTGAAGTCCTTCAAATTATTTTTGATTTTATTTTGAATTATTTTTTAGCGATATAGATTCTCATAGCGAATCATATACAAATGTTTTGAATGTTCATTTAAACTTCTTTACGTGCCTTGTCGTTAATGCTAGTAGATCGGTGATTGTGCAAGCAAAAGTCCTAGCTAGACTACAAGTAAACCACTATTCTGGTGGAGTTCAACCGGATATTAAATTTCACGCCAAAGTGCTGTATACTTGTCAAAGGCTCTTTGATTTTCTCTTTGGAGTGAGAAAAGTAAATGTGATTTATCGCACGACTCACTTACTTGATGAAGGCCTTTCTCCAGATAACCATTTTCTTTCCTTCAAAAATAAAATAAAATTGCCGGTATTTTCTTTTACAAATCAGTTAGTGTCCCATTCATTGAATACTTAACTAAACTGTGCCTTTGTTTTGAATTCATGATTAATTTCAATGTTTTAAACTATGAATATTGCTGTTCCGATATTTTTTGTTAAACAGTACTCGGAACTTTGGGGACATTGATTTACTTGATCAATTCAATGCACTGGGTCTTTTTCAACATGAAAGAAAATTTAAATTATTTTTCAGACTATTTTATAAAGTCTAGCATGAAGAAAAAATGTCTTCATTTTAGGTAGTTGGCATGAACCAAGAATGGAGAGGAGGGGACGTGCTGAGATACCCTGGTGGTGGGCATAAAATTAACTTGCTTAAAGATGTTGTCAAGGAGTACAAGGACAAAAAAAATCTTGTCATGATGTTTTCTGACAGGTAACACACTTCTCTTCCTCATCCTCCCCATGAAACATTTCGTTTGCTACATTTTAGTAAGAGACAGGTTCCAGGGGGATTCCAGGTCATAAGAGGGGTATGCTTCTTGTAAATTTTTCATTAAGAATACCTCTGAAAGATAAAAGGGCGTGGCTGGACGATTTTTAACAAAGATACTAAGCAATGCCAAAATTTGAACACCCTAAAAGATATAGAAACAACTTTAATATCTACTCACACAACTGAAACTTGTGTCATGAACAAGTTTCAGAACAAAATTGCGTAGTAAGAGGGTAGGTAATACCTGATTTATAAAAAAAATCTCTTGTAAATGTCCAACACATTGCCACTGCCATTCCTCATGAATAATTCTTGAAGGTCCCGGAGAGCCTGTGATCTGGTTCAGGGGGTGCTTATCATCTGTGGGAAAGAAGAGTAATTTTTGTGTCGTAAGAACATGCGTAATAGGTAAATTACGAGCCTCGTAAGAAAATATTGTTGGTGGGAAGTAACCACCTCCCCCATGGGAAATCCTGGTAACATCGCAAAGGGTTATGAAAGTCACATGTTGTTACTCTGTTAAATGTTCAAACATGAATTATTGATATATAATAAATTATTAACATTTATACATGAATGATTGATATGTATTTGACATTTTTCACAGTTATGATGCAGTCTTTCTGGCAAATGCTGAAACCTTCATCAACTCACTTTTAGAATTCAATGCTAATGTTGTCTTCTCAGCCGAGGGATTCTGCTGGCCAGACAGATGGCTAGTGGTAAGTAAACTTTATGCAGGGTAATGTATTTAGAACTGTCTCTTAGAAAATTAATAAACCATGAGGGGGCATTGCACAGAGACATTAAGCAAACACTGCCAGACATCTGACTAGACCGACATGCATCAA